TTTCCTGACAACCACTCTCAACAAACAAAATTCTGACCAATTATAACAATAACCATAACCTAATGCGGGCTAACTTGTCGAGAAAATGATAGGATCCGCGTAGGCATTTAACTATTAATTCGGCTTTTTTAACGTTAGTAATCTAATAACTAGTGCTCCGATCGGGTTGACCTGAATGACCCGAAATCAACCCGGTCATAATAAATTTATTAGATGGGTCATGACCCATATAGTAAATAACAGCAGAGACAGTACCCGATCCAAAGTAAATCCTTCTCGCCTGTGATCAATCACAAATTAAATTATTTATGTTGGATTCAATTGTAATGGATATAATCCCTCACCAGTTTTAACATATGTGTAACATTAACGGTCTCTGCTGTTATAGTAAATTCATTATAACCGGGTTGGTTTCGATCGGAGCGCTACTAACAACTCATATAGATTTATATACTGTAAAGATGAATCTGATTTGAAAGATGACGTTTACGGTTACTTACCTTACATTGCACAAGAATGAAGTGAGTGTATTAGGAAGTGATTGCATCGAGGAAAGTGAGATGATTGTCAGCAAAATAGTTGCGTCAGAGAAGTGAAAGGTTTTCCAAGGAAATCATGTGATCCTGTAATACAACAATAATATATAGAAAAAATTTAAAATTTTCAATAAAATTAATCATATTAATTAAAAACATGATACTAATCGGACTGTAATGAATGGGTCAGGTCTCTAGGTACCGTGTAATATGAATCATATATTCAATAAATATACACGAATATTCAGATATTAAAACAATTGAATAAATGAAGATTCGGCTTTTCATTCTTTTTTTACCGGATCGAACTCTAACAAAAACTAATGATATATTATATAGTATACTAATATTATGGAATCAAAGGCCTCAACCAAGCTTCAATTTGAATAATAAATTATTATTAACCACACAACGTATAAACAAATATATCATAGGATTTGGCGTTCTCAATGTCTTAATCAATGGGACAAAAGTGTCGGTGAATAAGTTTTACTTAGCGGAAAATATTTTAAGAGGGTCAAATCTGTTTATTATCGTAATGAATATTTAAATAAGCATCGTAGTTTAATAAGTACGAGTTTATCTTTTCAATTTACAACCATTTTAGGCTTATAATTAATTGAGTATTCAAAAAGATCGCACAATTAACCTTATCATGCAACGTCTGAATATTAACGAAAAAAGCGTAGTGATAACGACAAACGACATTTGATAAAACAATTACAATTCTTATTTTGATTGATTATAGTAAATGAGCAACGTCGCGCTTATTAGCTAATAGTATAGAGAATAACGTTGAGCAAACTTTGATTACTTCTTAATTTGCACATCTTACATATTCGATTTGTTATCAAAAATTAATCACGTCGAGGTTGACACATTGTAAAACAAACTATAATATTTTCTAAATCACAATGATTGGGATTCTATTTTTTAGTTATTCATTTAATTTTATTAATAAATCATATTCGCGAAATTCTTAGTTTTAAAATCGGAAAAAATTTTTAAATAATAGGACCAAAAAAAATAAAAAAAATAACATTTTATAAAATAGAAATAACCTTTTGTATGCTAAAAGAAAAAAAAGATTAGTAAATAGTCAAATAATAACCAAGTACATCAAGTATAATGTCGCATTTATTACGCCCGTCAAACACTTTAAAGAAGTATTTATATTTCTTTTTTGTTCTTCATTTTCTTTTAAAGAGAGCTATAAATTTTTAAAAAAATATATTGTAAGTATTAAAGATATCATCATTACAACCGCAGATTTGCCTTACACCCGTTTCGTCGCCACAACTTAGAACATCATTGTAGTTCATCCTCGTCGCTACAACTTGGGTCATCATTGTAGCTCATCCTCGTCTCTACAACTTAGAACATCGTTGTAGTTCATCCTCGTCCCTACAACAATCGTTGTAGTTCACCCTTGTCCCTACAACTTAAACTTCATTGTAGTTCATCCTTATCCCTACAATGTGAACACCAAGGTAGTTCATTCTTGTCCCTACAACTTGAACATCATTGCGGTTCATCCTCCAGGGCAGCGTAACTTATGACATGCGGTACGCTAGATAACCCATACTTAGTAAGTGAAAGTACTCACCAACTTAAATTCCTTCTATCCAAATCCAAAATGTTAAGCCGTGTTGTCGCAAGCACCTTAGCTAATGTTTTTCTTTTTCCTAATCCAAGATCCAAAAAGTCAACGCAGTATTATTGCAAGGTACATCAAATTCAACGTAGTATTATTGCAAGGTACATCAACTAGTATTTTTCATTCTTTTGTTTCGAAATCCAAAAAAGTTAACGTGGCAGCGTTGTTGCAAGATGTATCGGCTTTACTCCAGTTCTAAATTATTGTAACCAATATTCCAAGAAGTCAACGTGTCGTTTTTGCGAGGTGTACCTATGACCAAATATTCCAAGAAGTCAACGCGTTGTTTTTGCAAATAGCAGGTGTAATACTATTTCTATTCTACATAAGCAAAAGTGCAACAAAACTAAAAAAAAAAAATAATTATCGCGTCGTATCCTAAGATCAAATCAAAACACATTTTTTTTGGTTAAATATTAATTTCTGTGCGAATGATTTACATACTGTATAAATTGCGTTCTTGATATTTTTATAAATCATAGCCACCCCTAACCGCACCGGGCTTTAGTCATCCCCCCAAAAAGGAAATCAGCGTTTGTTATACATTTCCTTTTTGAGTTTGTATCACTTACACGATCGATTCTTGGGGAAGATTCTTCGAAAATAAATCGATTTATGAAAAATTTAAAAAAACAGCAGTCTGAACATGTTGGGGATTAGTTATAGAAACCCCATGATCCTATTATAACCAGACCCTAACCTTAAAATTAATTCAATAAAATATTAATTTATATAAGTTATCTCATTAAATAACGAGATAACATGATTTACGTTACGTATAGATTATTGATATAAAATAATGCTAAAATTATATATAATATATAAAGGACATACAAATCCTATTGTAAAATGCAGGTGATTTCCGCTTAATGATGCCACTTTCCGGCCCGATTTTTCAACAGACGGCTAGAGATGTACCTCGCGCAAAGTACAAAATTCTCACGGCTGTGACTTCACGCACCTTGTACAACGTAACGTCAATCTCACGCAAGGTAAATCATTCGATTAAGATACTTTTAATGATCAGTGAATAGGGTGTCATCAATTAGTTTAATCGTAAACATAGGGCTAGTTATATAGCAGTGATTGACCATTAGTGAAAATTTTTTAGTTCATATGAAATTACTAATTAAAAACGTCTTTTTAAATATTTAATAACTCTTGCCGTACTTAATTTTTTTAGATTTAATAAACTAATTTTAATTCTTCACATATATCTTTATCAAGTAATACTAAAGTATCTGGCATACTCAAAAAAATTGGCATGCCATGTGGCATGCCATCTATTCAAATCTGTGCCATGGCATGCCAGTGGCATGCCATTTGTATAATATTAGATAATGATATTAAATAATAACCTTTTCAATTGTTAATATCATGTATTATTTATCATTATATACTTATTAATCATTAATGTTAAGTGAAATTTTTTAATAAAAAATTTTTAATATAGTCTAATATGCAGATATTATATATATAAATAGTTTTTTATACAATATAAAAAAGTCATTGAAGCATACATTTTATAAAATTATTCATTTTGCTAATTTTATATTAATAGCATATTCTTTATATAAATTATATAGTATAAAAAAAATTAGTATATATATAAATAATTTTATTAGGTGGCATGCCAAACTGCTTTGAGGCATGCCACTAGCATGCCACTATGGCATGCCATCATTGACATGCCTGTGCCACTATGCCAGATACCCTAACCATATCTCAATCATTTGTATCACCACAATAGTCTGTAAGAATTTTTTACAGTAAATCACTATAGGAAACACGATCATCCAATACAAAACTAACATATCCATATCTAAATCACTTGTATCACCACAATAGTCTGTAAGAATTTTTTACAGTAAATCACTATAGAAAACACGAACATTCCAATACAAAACTAACATATCCATATCTAAATCACTTGTATCACTATAGCCTGTAAGTACAGCAACTAAAATTGTTTGCAGTATCCAATATAAAACTAACATAACCATATCTAAATCGCTTGTATCACCATAATAGTCGGTAAGAATTTTTTACAGTGAATCACTATAGAAAACACGCTCATTCCAATATAAAACTAACATAACCATATCTCAATCACTTGTATCACCACAATAGTCTGTAAGAATTTTTTACAGTAGATCACTATAGAAAATACGATAATTCCAATACAAAACTAACATATCCATATCTAAATCACTTGTATCACTATAGCTCGTAAGTACAGTAAGCCAGAATTTTTTACAGTAAACATTCCAATATAAAACTAACATAACCATATCTAAATCACTTGTATCATTATAGCTCGTAAGTACAGTAAACCAGAATTTTTTACAGTAAATCACTATAGAAAACACGATCATTCCAATGCAAAACTAACATATCCATATCTAAACAACTTTTATCACCATAATAGTTAGTAAGTACAATGAACCAGAATTTTTTACAGTAAATCATTATAGATATCACATTCATTCCAATATAAAACTAATATAACTCTATCTAATCACTTACATCAATATAGCAAGTAAGTACAATAAATACTATTTATCATCGAACATATTCCCAAAAGTTCTGTGATGTCATTATGGCGCAGCCGAACCAAAATAACGCAAAATTCTATGTACTAACACTGATGAAACGACATTCCCGAACCATTTTATTACGAAACGGACCTAATTTTCTTTTTTTCAATTCAAAAAATTGAAATTAATTTCCGACCATATTATAATTTTGATGATCATCGGCCTAAATTTGGTTAATGCCTTATAAGAAATTTTTACACACAATTGCACATGACTGCACGAAACATAGCACGTCCAAAGCACGGAAATCAAATCAGTTGCACGGAATCCGCATACACGCAAAATCGACGAACACGTAATTGCACGAAATTTTTTCATGTGCACGAAATAATAAACGGCCACATACGTAACTATACGGAAAATTGCATGGGAAAGCACGTAAAAAAGCACGCCATTACGTGCACTGTTGCACGTAATTCGTGCCTTTTTACGTGTCCGGTGCACGTTTTCCCGTGCACCATCCCGTGTTATATTCCATATAGTTCTGTATACTCTCTTACTGTTTGACCAGAAATTCCGTGCACCATTTTTTATAGGGATGTAGGCCAAATGCCTAACTGACGATATGTCGATAGTCGTAACTCTTAATTATTATTATATTTATTAAGGTTTGAAAAAGAATTTCGTAATTGGACAAGTGGCAATCACGACATTGATCAATTAATTCAACAAACACAACTTAATCCACGGGTGCTTAAAGACCTTATTGAATGGATACCCTTTAACAAATTCACAAATATAAAGTATATTGCTAAAGGAGGGTTTTTAAGGCAGCATGGATTGATGGATATATTACAGGACTCCGGGATAACGAATGGGAGAGAAGCTCGCGAAAAGATGTTTGTTTAAAAAGTCTTAATAATTCTAAAGATATAAAACGAGAAATTTTGGAAGAAGTATGTACGAATCTTAATTTACGATTATTAAGTGTAGTAAACTTATTTATAATTAATCTTTTAGGTTAAAAATCAACACAAACTTGGTGGTGACTCAGCAATTGCAATTTATGGAATAACCGAGAACCCAAAAGATGGTAACTACATGATGGTTATGGAGTATGCGAAGCAAGGAAGTCTCAGAAAATTGTTAGATAGTAGATATGACGAATTAGACTGGACTTCTAAAATAGCTAACCTATATTATATAGCTGTCGGACTTAAGACAATTCATGAAGCCAAATTAGTGCATAAAGAGTTTCATTCTGGAAATATAGTTAATCAAAATATGTTTAATTCTTACATTACTGATTTTGGTTTATGTAAGCCGGTGTC